GCGATTGCGTGGTTACATCATCACCACGGAAAGAGCGCGTTCTACCGCTGCTGGCGGAAAACCGGGGGGGGGCACTACCGGTTCGAACCCCTCCCCCCCCCCCCCCTCCGAAAACCGGGGGGGGTCACTACGGTTCGAAACCCCTCCCCCCCCCCCCCCCCTGCTCATCATGAAAAGGGGGGGGGGGGGGGGGGTCACTACCGGTTCGAACCCCTCCCCCCCCCCTCCGGATCCGGAAAACCGGGGGGGGGTCACTACCGGTTCGAACCCCCCCCCCCCTCGAAAACCGAGTGGGGGTGCGGACAGTGGTGGGGGCGGTGTTGGTGGGGACAGTGGTGAGGGGATAGCGGGACAGTGGTGGGGACAGTGGGACAGTGGGACAGTGGTGGGGACGGCAGTGGCGGGGACAGTGGTGGGGACAATGGTGGGAACAGGGGGGGACAGTGGACAGTGGTGGTGACGGTGGTGGTGGGGACAGTGGTGTGGGGACAATGGGAATGAGGTGGAAACAGTGGGACAGTGGAGGGTACAATGGTGGTGGGGACAGTGGTGAAGGCGGTGGCGAGGACGGCGGTGGGACAATGGGACAGAGGTACAGTGGGGACAGTGGTGGGGACAGTGGGGACAGTGGTGGGAACAGTGGGACAGCTCAGTGGGACAGCGGAGGAGTCAGTGGGACAGTGGGGACAGTGGGGATAGTCGGGCAGTGGTTGGGGCCGTGGAGACAGTGGGGAGAGTGGAACCGTGGTGGGAACAGTTCTGGGGACAGCGGGGACAGTGCGACAGTGGTGGGGCCACTGGTGGGGACAGTAGGGGCGGTGGTGGAACCAGTGGGGACAGCGGTGGTGAGGACAGTGGTGCTGGGAACACCAGTGGGGGATGTGATGCGGACGGTGGTGGGGACCGGAGTTAGTCGTTTGCTGGCGGTGAGTAAAGGGGGGGGGGGGGGGGTTCGAACTGGTAGTGACCCCCCCCCCGGTTTTCCGGATATCCGGAAGGGGGGGGGGGGGGGGGAGGGGGTTCGAACCGGTAGTGGACCCCCCCGGTTTTCGGCGGGGGGGGGGGGAGGGGGGGGGGGGATGGGGTTAGGGGGAGGGGGGGTTTTTGCCGGGGGAGGGGGCGGGGGGTTCCAGCAGGGGGGGGGGGGGATTTTCGGAGGAGGTGGGGGGGGGGGGGGGCGGACCCCCGGGTTCCAGAGGAAAAGGTTGGCAATTTTCCACAGTAAAGCGGCGGTGGATCACGCTCTCTCTCACCGCGCAATCCCATTCCCCCATTCTTCCCTCGTCCGGCCTCCTCATCCCTCTCCTCGTCGCTAACCGAGTCAAGCCACGTCCCATCGTCGAGCCGCGTCCCGCCCATGGGGCACTGAAAGTTCCACTCCTTCCCCGCGACGCGGCAATCGCAATGGCCCCTGTACAAATACTTTTGGCCCCAACGGGAGGGGGATGGGGAGGCGAATGGACGAGGAGAAGGAGGGGGTGGAGTAGGCGGACCAGGGGGAAGGGAGATCGGCTGAACCATCTTTCCCCGTCCGCTCATCGTTCCTGCCCCCCCGTCGCTTCCCCCCTCCCCCGCTCTTCTCCTCCTTGCCACCTTGCCAATTCCCTTTTCATCCGTCCTATATTGCCGTGCCTTGCTCTCTTCCCCATCTTCCTGCCTCCAATCCCCGATTATCCTCTCGGTAGCTTTCAGGTCTTCAGGTGTTAAGGAGCGGCGGCGCTGGCAGTGATGCCTTTGCTGCATAAAAACAATTTAACCCATTTGCCCGATCGGAGACCTTGCGCGCTGCCATCGCGCGCTGCTCCTGCTTGGCGTCGGCGTCGCCGTCGTCGCTGAACGCTGGCCTCGCGCCCCCCTCGTCCTCCCGCGTGGTGCTGCCCAGCCCGTCAGCGGGAATGCGTTGCTTGGCCTTCTCGGCGCGGCCGCCGTCGGAGCGCCGCGGCGCGGCGCTGCCGGCGCCGCCCGCGCTCGAGCTCGAATCAGACAGAAATGGCTTCTCAGAAAGGGCGCGTCAACACAGCATCCCCCACGCGCTCTCAGGATTCCTCCAAAGCCCTCTATGCAATTACTCAATATGAATACTACTCTCCCTCTTCCCCTGATGACGGCTTGAAAATATTGCCCCCCCCCCCGCCGCGTACTGTTTTTTGCGCGCAAGATTCCCCGGAGATGGGTTTTCGGTTGCACTTGTTTCCAAAACGCTGCTCTCGCTGAGGCGCCGGCCTCATTTTCGGGCCCCGCTCGTTCCGAATCCTGCCCCCGCTGCAGCGCTGGTCTCATTTCCGTGCTCCCGCTCGTTCCGAGTCGTGCTCCCGCTGCAACGCTGGCCTCATTTCCGCGCTTCCGCTCGTTCCGACTCGTGCTCCCGCTGCAGCGCTGGTGTCATTTCCCGCGCCGTGCCGCGGCAAGCTATGCAATGCTAGGTTCATACTACGCTTTGCGGTGCTCTTCTACGCCATGCCACGCCGTGCTCTACAATGCATCGCGTACCCTTTCGGGATCATTGCCCTGCTCGGCGTCCGACCGTGCGAGGAGAGAAGGGATCCACGCCATGGCGAGGGGGGGGGGGGGGGGTAGGATGTCAGATTTGACGCGAGCGCACCTAACTTGCCGTCTCCCCCTCCCCCCTTGCCCTTCCCCTTCCTTCCGCGTTCCCTCCGCCCCTTCCCGCCTGTTCAAATCTCGCTGGTCCCTCCAGCCCCTCCCCCCCTCACCCACTCCCCTATTCCCTCTGCCCATCGCATGCCCCTCACCCCCTTGCCTGACCTCGTAAACACGTTCTTGTTCCATCTCCCCTCCCAGCCGATCCTCGACCTCAGCTGATCCGTTGCCATCCCTCACCCTACCCCAGCTGTTTGCAAGGCCCTGCGGCTCCTCCTCCGATTCCTCGGACTCCGACGCAGTCGATAAACTATCAGAGATGATGCTCTGGAGCTCTTTCTTGAGCGCCACAAGCTCTGGGTCCTTCTGGGCCCTCTTGAAGGCCCTCGCGATGGGCCATGCGCTCTGATCGTCCTTCTCGCCCTTCTTGTCCGCGTCGCCGTTGGCGATCGTCGGCGTCGCCGTCGGGGGCTTCGTGGCCTTGCGCCCCTTCGCTGGGAACTTCCACTGCTTTTCCTGCTTCTCGGGGCCCTCCTCGCGCACCGCCCCGCCCCCGGACGGCGCCTCCGCCGCCCGCCGCGGGCGCTTCGCTGGAAGCCGCGGCAGCCGCCGACTTGGGCTGCTCGGGGCGCGACGGCAGCCGCCGTCGCTTCTGTCCAGAATGAACGTCTGGCCATGCTCCTCGCTGGCGTCGGACAGCTTCCTCAGCTTCGCGGCGATCTCCGCCTGGGTCTTCTTCTCTGCCGCCAAGCGCTGCTCCAGGCGCCGCTTGACCTCGCCGAGCTGCGCGATCGCCTCAGCGTCTGTGGCCCTCGGGCGCTGCGGCGCCTGGAAGGCGCGAGGGCTCGACGGGTCGACAGAGCGGCGGGTCGAAAGATCGACAAGGCGAGGCGCGAGAGCGCGAGACGTGGGGGAATGGGGCAACGGGCGGGCGAGAGAGCGAGAGAATCAGGATCGGCCTGCGCGACGCGGTTGGCGCTGGCGGCGCCAGCGTTGACCCGGCGCAAGGCGCTGCCATGGCGCTGCCGAGCGCCTTCCACGCCTGGGGCACCTTGAGGAAACTGCCAAACATCATCATCTCATTCTCCCCTTACCCCTCCCCAGATGCACGGTGCATCCCCTCGGGGGGGGGGGGGGGGCTATCTATTGCGCTCTTCCTTGTCCCTCCGGACCCTGCGGCGCGATGGATGAACCGATGAATCCCCTTCCTCCGACCTCCAAGTCGGGGAACTCGAAGGGGGGGCCTTGCAGCCTGCCGCGCTCGACCTTTGTGAGCCGGCGGAAGACGCGCGGGCGGTCCGCGGGATCGCTTCCCTGCCTTGGCCCGTAGGTCTCGGGCACGGGCAGCGGCGCCAGCCGCGAGCACCTGCGACCAGATGTTGCATGCAATCGTTTCATCGTTGAGTCGTCGGTTCGCTAGTTTCTGCTTGCGGCTGTTGCAAGGGCACGCGTTCTTCGTCGTCAGCGCCGGGCAGACGTCGCCCCCGAACGAGGGGCCGTGGGCGCCCCGCGGGTTCCTCGCGAGGTCAGCGATGGCATGTGCCCCTTCTTCGGCGCGATGCCCGCGAGCCTCGGGATTCGACGACGTGCTGGAGGGGCTCGCGGAAGGAGCCAAGGTCCCCCAGCATCTTCGACGCCGCGGCGCCAGGGAAGCGCGGGTTGAGGCGCTGCGCCGCGTCCCTGGGGCAGATATTTCTTAAAAGACCTGCCCCATTCGCGCCCTCGCCCCGCCCCCCCCTCGTGCCCCCCCCCCCCCCGCCTCCTGCATTCCTTCTTCTCCTTCCGCGCGCCTCCTCCTCCTCCCCCTTCCTTTTGTGATTCCTCCTCCCTCCTCCTCCCCCCCCTTCTCTCCTCCCCCCTCCTCCCCCATTCGCCCCCCTCCTTCCCCCCCCCCTCCTCCTCCGTTGCTACTGCGTCGGCAGACCTGTCGAGATACGCCTCGCGGAAGTTGTTCTTCTGGTAGAAGATCGCGCTGTCAGCGTCGACGGCGAAGTGCGAAGGCGCCTGCTGCGAGTAGGGCATGTCCGCGCGCTCGTGCAGCTCGTCGCTGAATTGGACGCGCGCCCTCTCGCGCCGCTGCGGGGGCCCGAAGTGATGGCAGGATTGCGCTTCCTATCCTCGTGCCCCCGCCGCCGCGTACTCCTCCTCTCCCACTCGCAACCGCCGCCTCCTTCGCGCCCTCGCCCCCCCCTCCCCCTTCGCCCTTCCTCTCTCTCCCCCCCCCCCCCCTCCCTCATCTCCTCCTCACCCCCCATATCTCCTTATCTCCTCGTGGGTCCCATCCTCATCCTTCTCCCCCTTTTCCGCTCCTCACTCTTCTCCGCGTCTCCTCCCGTCCTCCCCCGATAGCAGGGAAAAAGAAACGAGTTCGCGAATCCTCGTGGATCTGCGCCCGCCACCGGGGCGGGGGCGTCTCCCTGGCCCATCTCGCGATGACGCCCAGCGGCGCTATCGGGGGCGGCTTGTCGAGGTTGATGCTCGGGGGTGCGAGGCCATGGGCTCGGAGGAAGACAAGCGCGCCACCGCGCCCCCGCGCCCTCTCAAAAGAGACGGGGGGTGGGTGGGTGCAAGAGGAAGTGGAAGTCGCGCAGGCAGTCCTCGCCGTGCTGCCCCCGCAGCTTCTGCCGCGCCTTCAAGCCGCCGAGAACGTCCTGGGCGGCCGGGGGGCAACGAGGGCCGAAAAGACCCCCCCCCCCGCCGCCATCCTCTATCCCCACCTCCCCATCGCCCCCTCAATTCACCGACCCATCAGTTTCTCGACGCTTCAACGCCTCGCCCATCTCGCCCTCTCCCCCTATCTCCCGGCCCCCCACGAAAAAACAACAACCCTCTACTCCAATCCTGACCTCCTGACCTCCTGGCCCCCTGGCCCTCGCGCTCACCTCCTGACCTCCTGACCTCCTCTCTCGCGCTCACCTCCGGACCTCCTGGCCCTCTGACCACCCCCTCGTCTCTCTCGCGATTAGGAAGGCCCAGGGTCCATGACCCCGGCCACCTGCTCGATCACCGCGCGCTGGAGCTTAGAGCTACCGTCGTGAGCGAGCTCGGCAACGAAGTCCAAGCAATGCGCGAACACGCGCGACCGCCAATCCTCGAATGATGCCGTCTTCCCGCAACGCGAGAATGGAAGGCGCGGAGCTCCTCCAGCGACGATCCAACGATCCAGAGTCGAGTCGGGTCGAACCGTCGACGATTCGACGCTTCGCCCCGACCCGAGTCTGGATCGGGAGAGCGGTGGATAAGCAGGAGGAGGATGAGGTGGTGGAGGAGGAGACCCCCGGATAAGTGGAAGGAGAAGCAGGGGGGGGGATGAGGAGATGGAGGAGTGGTGGAGAATAGGAAGGGGTAGGTGGAGGAGCGAGAGAAGGAAAGCAATAGAGGAGGAGAGGAAGAGAGCGCAGAAAGGAGGAAAGGAGGAAAGGACATAATATCAGATGAGACAAAGAAACAAAGAAGGAGGAGGAGAGGAGGAGGAATATCAAGAGGGGGGGGAGGGGGAGAGGGGGGGGCAGAGGAGGAGAAGCGGGTGACGGAGAGGAAGGAGGAGGCGAGGAGGCCGTCGCGGTCCGAAGACGAAGAACTCGACCTCCTTGAGCTCCGACGCCTGCGCGGCTAGGAGGTTCCCGTCGTCCTTGCCGATCGTCTTGTCGTCGGCGTCGTGGCGTCGTATCGTGGTCGCGTCGTCTCGCGGTCGCGTCGTCTCGTGATCGCGTCGTTGGGATCTTGGGGCCCTTCGCTGCCGTGCCCATGGATTTGAGCTGCAGCTGGAAACGGATGCACGTTGATGTCCCAGGCGCCGGCGAGGTCGACGCGCAGCCCGGCACTGGGCGCGGGCAGGGGGGCCCACCTCCTCATCCCTGCTCCTGCTGCTGATCCCCCTCCTCCCTTCCACTCATCTTCCGAATCCTCATCCCCCCCTCCTTCACCTCGTCCTTCCCCTCCTCATTCCTCTTCTCCTCCTCCTCCTCCTCGTGCTCCTTCTTCTCATCCTCCTCCTCATTCTCTCGTTTTCCTCCTTATTCTCCTTCCCCTCCTCCTTCCCCTCCCTATGCCCTTATTCCGCTCATGCCGCCCGCAGCGCGCCTCATCAACGCGACGCTTGGCGTCTCCGGGCCAGCGCGCGGGCAAGCCAGCTTGATCGGCACCTCGAGGGGGGGCGGGGGGGCGCCCTCCTCATCCTCCTCTCGCGCCTCCTCATTCCTTCTCCCTCCTCTCTCCTCCCCCCGCCCTCTCCTCCTCCCACCTCCCCCTCTCCGTCCTCCTCCCGCCTCCCACCTCCCACCCCCCTCCTCGTCCCGCCTCCCTCCTCCTCCCACCTCTCCCACCTCCCCCCTCATTCCTTCTCCCTCCTCCCTCCTCCCTCTCCCTCCCCCTCCCGCGCGACCGACGTGTCCACGGGCCCCGCGTGCATGAGCGACTGGGCGCCCGCGACCCAGCCGCCCAAGCTCGCGGGCAAGGCGGCGGCCATGGCGGAGTGGAGGAGTAGAAGGAGGAGTGGGGAGTATAATGAGGAGGAAAAGTGGGAGGAAAAAAAAAGGGGGGGATGATGAGGAGGAGGAAGCGACCGGGCGCGCGGCCGCGGCGTCGAGCCGACGGCCGCGGCGTCGTCAGTTCGCCAGCCTTCCCTTCTTCCCCTGCTCTCCTCCTTCTCCTCCTCCCTCCTTTGTTCCACCCCTTCCTCTCTTTTCTCTCCTCTTCTCATTTCCTCCACCCTTTCCCCCTTTCCTTTTCTCACCCGTCCCCCTCCGACTTCCCATCCCGTAATCCTTTCTTCCCTTGCCCGCCATCCCACTCCCATTCTCTCGCCCCCTCGCGTTGTAGCGAAGAGCGCTGCTTCAGGCACGACGAACAGTATTTTTTGTTCGGTTTTTGGTTGTCGTATTTCTACATTCTTAGCTGCGTGTCCGACGCTGGCAATCTTTCACGCGCCCTCAAGCCAACGATTGTTATATCTATGTTTAAGCATCTACCACATTAAGTCAATTACTATCATTGTGTAGGAAAAAAAACGTATTAAAAGTACAAGGCCGCATCCGCGTGCGGCGACACAGTTCTTCCCGCACGAATCCTGTCGCTGGGCCCTTCCCGGCGCATGGAGGCACTGGTCCCCGTGGGGTCCACCTCCATGCGGCAGAATCGAGGACGAAACGAGGCGGCGCGACGGAGAGCGTGAAATAACAGGCTGATAATCTGTGGATGTAGGTTAACGTATGAAGAGTCGAACCTACTGTGTTTCCCGTAAGTAAAAATAGGAAAGGGAGAAGGTCGCGAATCCTTTTCCCGTGCGCTGCAAAAGAGGCAGCGCGATGCTTCGTACCAATACCTTAGCCGAGACGTCGGCGGTAGAAAAGGATATAATGGTGATATGAACGGACTTCACACACAAAGGGTGCCCCCAGAGGCTCCCAATATGCCTTCTCCTTTTTCCTCCTCCTCCTCCTCCTGATCTTCCCCGCCATCCTCCCCAAAGTGTTCCCCGAAGGGCTTCCACAACGGCTGGGGGAACACAGGGTCTGATAGCTTGGAAGAGCTTTTGCCACGACGCTCGTCCACATGGGCGATTCCAACAGGCAGGGGACGGCGGTGATTCGCCGTAGGCGTCTTCGATCGTAGTAGCACTGTCTCTTGGGTGCTCCTGTCAATCGTTACTCTCTCGGGGGGACCCCCCTCAATCAAACTACGACAACATAACTTTACACTGACCCCCCTAAGAACATCTGTCAGTCTCCCTCGAGATCAATGGGCCGCACGTTGCGAAGCACGCCATCCCGAAATAACGGCGGTAGACCCGCTCATGGCGGGCAGTGCATCCCCAGATCCCGTGCTTGGACCGCAGAATTACTCTCGGGGCTCCTCCCATGCTTGCCGGCGCGAATCTCGTGAGCAGCGCGATAGCAAACTGTACAGGGAATATAGAACCAGTGGAATTGGAAACTCAATGATCGTGGAAAAGGCCAGGGCTGGAAAAACTGACAAGGGCCGAAACGAACCGGAGACAATTGGGATGAGGTCGTCAAGGCTGGAAACAGACAACGCGGAAACTGGTCAGGGCTGGATAGAGTGGAAGGGCTGACCCCAACCACTTTTTCCAAGTGCCCTGTTGCTATCCGTGCCTTCTCAGTCTCTCCAATCTTCTGTGCCCTTCACCGTCCGCCGCCTTCCTCCGCCCTCCAATGCAGCCGCAGGCGTCAACAACTACGGCAACGGAAACGGCAGCACGGCTGCCTTCGCCGTTCTCTCGCGCCTGCTCGCCGCGCCAAGCGGAAGCTCGGGCGAAGGCTGGTCGCCGCAACCGTGGGCGGCCATGAAGAGCGAAAACGCCCCAGGCCTCCGCCACTGGCCGCGCGAGCCCCTCCCCTGCCACCTCCTACAGAACCAATGGCTGCTTGCACGGGCAGCGCAGTTGGGGAGTGCGGCGATAGCAATCTCTTGGTATTCAGGCTAGCGCTGATAAATGCTGCGGGTCCTGAACCCTATTCTAGCAGCACTACACCTGGTCAAATCCTCATTGTAATATGATCATCATAGCAACATAATAATCTATGACACGGCTCGTGCGCAACTGACACAACGCTCTGCCGCCAAATCGCTGTAAGAGGAAGCCACGAGAAGGCCTCGGACCATGCGCAACCGAATCAAAAAATGAACGCCACTCAGCACGACACACACCCACCCAACAATCGAATCGAAGACTTCACGCCACCCCGCTCGAGTGTGCCTAGAAAGAAACACTGGCCAAAAACACTCGGGATTCAGGGCAACCGAACCGAAACTTGAACGCCGCCCGGCATGAGGGAACCGCAAGGAGGCCAGAGGCTACCGATAGCCCTGCTGATAGCACAAGACGGTGGGCGAAACATCACGCAAGGCAGCCGAGACAATTGCAGCGGTGCCGCGGTGCCCTCCGAGCGTCATGAAATCCTGCTACTGCCCTGGTCGCCCGAGTGCCGCTGTGCACGTGCTGGACGGGCCTGGCACAGCTGGGCCTGGACAGATGGGGCAGTACAGTGGCGAGGCACACAGACGAGCAAGTGCTGCGGCAAGCCTGTATGCTGTGGACGCTGCGGGAGTGAGTAAGTGAATCAATTAATGAATGAGCCGCCATTGTCGCGCCGAACCGCGTTCCTGGATGGACGCGCGGAGAGGGCCGCAGCCCCCAGACATTCTTGCTCAGTGAACGCTATGGAAGAAGGGAGGAAGCGACGGAGGGAATCAAGGAAACAAGGGCAGTGACAGGGGAGAGGAGGCGAGGGGGGGGTAAAGGAGGATGAAAGGCAGTGGCATGGAGGAAAAGGAAAGGCGCCCAGAATGCGGGGGCGGGGGGGGGGTAAGGATACCGTATGCTCCTATTGAACGATGTGGCTTCTGGTCCTGCATCGTATTCTTGTGTTCTATTTCCCAACTATTATGTGGTGTTGGCTCCTAGTTTTGAAGAGACAGCGCCCCGCGTTCTCCTTCCTCCTTCCTTCCTCCTCCCCCTCCACCCTGCGAATCCCCCAACCAGTAATGCGTTTCGTGGCCCCATGAGGAGCTCCACCGCACGTCCCAGTGGCGGAACTCGCATGCGGTTCCTGCGCCCAATACAGCGTTTTGGGGCCTCATAGCGAGTTCCACCGAAGGTCCCCGTGGCGAAACTTGCATGCGGTTCCTG